GAACCAGCTGAACCAGCTGAACCAGCTTCCGAACCAGCTGAACCAGCCTCCGAACCAGCTGAACCAGCTTCCGGGCTGTAAAAAAGTAAAAAATTTTCCGGGCTGTAAAAAAGAGTATTGCAATTTTAAAGATTTTGAAGAAAGAGATCAGTGAAAGGTTTTAATTTTGAAAAACTTGATTACTCGGATTATTCAAGGAGACAAATTGGAGAAAAGAAGAAAAGAAGAAAGGAAAAGAGAGATTTGATTGAATTTTGCATAAGTAAGCAATGAGTGGCTTTTGAAGAGACAAATGCGTTTGATGAAATCGGATGAAGTGGAGAAGAAAATGTCACAAACAGACCATTCATTCGATTATCTTAAGAGGAGAGATTTGAAATTGAGAATATCTCCAGTGAACTGAAATAAGGCACCGAAATTCGTTAAAAGTCAATTATAACATGAATAATGTGATACATTAGACAAACAAATATACCCATTGCCCCATGCCACTCCGATTGCCTTAATACCTACTGTCTCCTATAGCCTATTGTCAGTCCTATTGCCTTAATAGCTAATGTCCCCTGTCCCCTATTGCCATTCCTATTGCCCTAACACCTAATGTCTCCTATAGCCTATTGTCATTCCTATTGCCATTCCTATTGCCGTTTTTATTCCCCCAATACCTAATGTCCCCTATTGCCATTCCTATTGCCTTAACACCTAGTGTCGCAGAGAAAAAACTCATCTATTGGGTTGGTGAATTGAAAACTGCGGGCTATTGTTATAAGTGACAGTTTGAGCACTTTCTTCAAAAGAAACCCATTTTGGTGTCAATGGAAAAGTTGTAGAGAATCAAAAATCAAGCTTATATCCAAATTTTCAGAACGATTCAAAAGCTGGTTCTCAAGAAATGCCAAATTTACGAATTTTCACAAAACTTGCACTGAACTTGCAACAAAACTTGCATTTTAAGCGAAACTACTCAGTGTATCTTTTTGGAAATTTGGCTATAAGCCTAAGTTTTGATTCTCTACAACTTTTCTATTGACACCAAAATGGGTTTCTTTTGAAGAAAGTGCTCAAACTGGAACATCGGACCTCTCCAGTCCTCCATTTTTGAGTCTCACACTTGTCTCACACACAAACCAAAATCCTACTACGAAAGAGGAATCCGCAAATTGCCTGTAAAATGGGCAGAAGTCGTCAATAATAATGGACAATAATAATTCATTATTTGGAATGAATTGATGGTTTTATGTTGAATAAATATTAGTTCAAAGTCCCAAAGTTTTCAATTCACCAACCTAATATCGATATCGATACACCAATATCGAAAAAAGTCAAATTTTCTAACCAATTCATCAATTTTACAAAGTAAACAGTTCTTTGGAAAGTAATTTATGCTTAAAAATCTAAACATACCCCTTCTGGTGCATTCATTTTTCATCGAAACGATAAAAATCAAGAGAAAATGCTTCAGAAATGCTGAGAAATGCTTAATCCAAGTTACAACTTACAATAAAAGCTTAATACAAGTTTTTTTTGCACAAAATCTACCGAAAAGCACTTCGTTCTTTGATTTTTAGTAAATGAGAGTGATTTGGTGCATTGGAAATGTCTAAAAGTTTCATTTTAATTACCCAAACAATTCGCAATACCTAATTGAAAGGATAAAACAAATTAAAGTAAAAATATAACAAATTAAAATATAAACTAAACCGATTTTAGTTTATATTAGGTGTGTGAAAAAGTAATCCACGTTTTTTATTTTTATCTGATGACCAAATGAGACGCTGTCTTCTCGAAAACCCTCGTTCAACCTCTTCAGAAATAGGCCTTACATTAAATTGTGATGGGTCAACCGTAAGGAAACGCTTGAATGCCATGAATTTTATCAAAAAGTTGGACAAATGGATACCGCATGAACGATAACGCGCGACCACATGTCTCTTTACAGACTCGACAAAAAATCCAGAGTGTTGGATGGGAGGTTTTACCACATCCACCTTATAGTCCAGACCTTTCTCCATCTGATTATGATTTATTTTTGTCTCTGTCTAACTTTTTGGCCAATAAACGGTTCAATTCCGAAGAAGATGTCAAAACCGAGGTTGATCTTTTCTAAGGATCTAGCCAATCGCCTCTAAGGACCAAGATTTTTATTATCGTGGAATGTCTTTACTTGTAGAACGTTGGCAAAAGGTTCTTCTTTCGAATGGTGATTACTTCGTTGAATAAAAATTATTTTAACGAAACTTATGGTCTTTTATATTTAAACGTGGATTACTTTTTCACACACCTAATAAAACGATGAAATGAAAGCTTTTATTTTATAAAAATATGAAATTTTTAACAAAAAGCTTTGCTTATTTATTTAATTATCGATTTTTAAAAGTAACACAAAGAAAAAGAGAAAAAAGCACATTTCAAAAAGGAGTGATTAGTAGTGATTTTGCTTCTGAATTTTGCTTTTTTGCTTTTTTTGCTTTTTTTTTCTTTCTGACACAAAGAGATAACAAGAAAAGGACAGAAAATGATAGAAAACGACAGAAAACGACAGAAAATGACAGAAAAACTTATGAATTCGCCTTTCTCGTGTGAATTTATGAGTTTATGAGTGATTTGGTCGAAAGTTGTTTCAATTTTAACGTTGAAACCAGTCTAACTAAAGGTTTATAATGTGATTTGAAGATTTTCTTTGGTTTTTGGCCATGAAAATACTCTAATTGAGCTGCTGGCTACAGTTGCGTAGTCTAACTTCTTTTAGAATCTTTTAGATCTTCTTTTAGATCATTTTTTCTCAGCTTCTAGACTTTTCCCAACTAAACTTTTGATACCAAAAAATACTAGATTTCAAGGGCTATCATTTAACACCCAAGTGTAAACGGTAGCATAAAGTAAAGCAGAGAATTGGACGTTCAAAGTTAGACTACGCGACTGTACGCCCGTCATTCGATTGGCGTTCGATTGGTGTTCGATTGGCGTTCGATTGGTGTTCGATTGGCGTTCGATTGGTGTTCGATTGGTGTTCGATTGGCGTTCGATTGGTGTTCGATTGGCGTTCGATTGGCGTTCGATTGGCGTTCGATTGGCGTTCGATTGGCGTTCGATTGGCGTTCGATTGGCGTTCGATTGGCGTTCGATTGGCGTTCGATTGGCGTTCGATTGGCGTTCGATTGGCGTTCGATTGGCGTTCGATTGGCGTTCGATTGGCGTTCGATTGGCGTTCGATTGGCGTTCGATTGGCGTTCGATTGGCGTTCGATTGGCGTTCGATTGGCGTTCGATTGGCGTTCGATTGGCGTTCGATTGGCGTTCGATTGGCGTTCGATTGGCGTTCGATTGGCGTTCGATTGGCGTTCGATTGGCGTTCGATTGGCGTTCGATTGGCGTTCGATTGGCGTTCGATTGGCGTTCGATTGGCGTTCGATTGGCGTTCGATTAGAGGATTTACGTGAGGTCTAAAATCAAACTTACATCAATTTTAGTAAATCAAATTTACAAACTAAAATGTTTGATTTGAACTTTCCAGGCCAGGATTAGGTGGGTTTTTCTCTCTTCTTCTTGATCTTTTTTTTTCCTAAAAGCATCTTAAGTGCTCTATGTAAGGGTGTTTTTTCGATAAGAGAATCTTTTTGAAAGAATTTTAATTTTACAAATCAAAAGATGGTCACAACAGCGACGGCTTTCACAAATAAACACATCAAAAGCCAAAGCCAAAAGCCAAATTTTTTTGTTTATCAAGAAGAAGACAATTAAGTGTAGTTTAAATCTCAAAAAAATTTTATTTTCGGTACAAGTCTTTTTTGTATTTGTGTATTTGTTTTATATTTGTGCATTTGTGAGTATTCCGCTTTTCAAATCCCATTAAACTTTTGTGGTTCCAAGTGGACGTTGGTTGTTGAAAGGACGCTTCTAAAACTTGACGAATAAAATCATTGAAACAATTAAAACCATTGAAACAATTGAAACAATTGAAAAAATAAAATCATCGCTTCAACCAACATGGTTGTCAGAGTTTTTATACTAAACGGATGCCAAAATATCCGAATAATGAGTCAGCCGTCAAAATATTCAACAATGGTGCCAGCAAAAGGAAGAACTTGAGAAACAAAGCAAAGAGAACGAAAAAGAAGTGAAACGAATCAAAGGCAGTGGACGAAAGCTGAAAAAATAAAATCATTGTTTCAACCAACATGACTGTCGGAGTTTTTTACACGAAAAAAATAATAATCCAAAAAAATGAAAAATAAAAGTCAAAACATCCTAGCCGGGTGTTTTTTGGTGTTTTTATAATAAAACGTAATGTTTTATAAAATGAAAACATAGGGTTATCGTAAAAAATTTTGTTTAAGACCCGGTCGCGATCTGCACCCCACACCTTTAAATGCACCCCACCCCTTTAAATTTATAGAAGTAAATGGGGAGGTAGTCAAATGAGCGCCAACAATTGGGCGCCAATCATTTCAGCGCCAACGATTTGGCTCACGCTTATTTCAGCGCCACTCATTTGAGCGCCGTGCCAAAAATGACTGGAAAACAATCATTTGAGCGCCAAATTAAAAAGGCCTAAAAACGTTCATTTAAGCGCCGGGCCAAAAATGACTGGAAAACGTTCATTTCAGCGTGACTAAATTTTAATATTTTTGCTTTCTACGCTGCTTTTGCATGTTTTTTAGGGTTTTGCTTCTGTTTTTACACTTTTTTCACTCATTTGACCTAGGGCACGGCAGTAGGCACCAAATACGCGGAAAAAATTGTTAGATTAGCTCGTATTTAAGGTTTTTTTGATGAAAATGTGTAAATTTGCTAGTTGTATGATATTTTAGCAATAGCATGCTTTTTCACCGTTTCTTGCCGTTTTCGTTTACAATTTGCTTACAGTTAACATAGTTCTTTGCTTAGGCTCGTGAACTGCGCAAGAAGTGGCGAGACAAAGGAACACTCTGAGTCAAAGTAACGTTTTGTTCATGATTTATTTTGGTTTATTTTGCTGCCAAGAATTATTTTTATCTTTAGATGATTGCGATGTCACAACGAGCGAAAGGATTGATTTACGACGATGAGATGTTCGAGTATAGGAAAGACAAAGTTCTAAAGAGCGGAAAAATATCTTACAGGTAAGGTTTAATTACATTATGTTAATTTTTAGCAAGTTAGATGCTTAATATGGATTACTTTAGGTGCACAAAAGCAGGCTGCAAAGGCCGGGTGCACTACAATGGATCAATTGTCGCAACGATTTCTTCGCACACTGCGCAAATTTGTGGTTTGCCACCTAATTGCGGTCAAGAGGTTAGTTGTTTGACATATAGATGTGAGCCTATATCATTTTTAGTTACGAGATCTCAAGTTTGATGTAAAACAAAGTCGCAAGGCCGGGATAGCAACAAAAGAAATTATTCGAAGCAAAGTTTTAACGGCTCCCGCTCACATACTACAATTTGTGAATCTTGGTAGTTTGAAGCAATTGGCTCGCCGACAAGTGAAGATCCCTGGCTCGAAGGATTGGCCTGCACCGATAAACGCTTCGGAACTCCGTAAACTTTTTAAAATTTTGGTACATAATATTTAAACTTTAGGTGTGCCGTTTCTGCGCTATGACAATTGCGCTCGTTTTTTGATCGACAATAAAAAAGGACTCAAGGTGTTTATGTCTGACTGGGGACACGACAAGCTGGCAAAAGTCAGGAATTTTTATTTTCTGCATAACAATGTGCTTCAGAATGATTGTTGGTCAATGGATGGAACATTTTATGCAAGCCCTTTCGGTTTCAAACAAATTTTTGTGATTGGAGTTGAAGTTGGTTTCATGTTTTTAATATTTTTTTATCTTATTTTCAGATTGCACACTTGTTGTTCCATGTGCATACGCATTCCTTGTAAGCAAAGAGGCGTATCGATATGGCGATGTTTTCAAAGTACTACAGCAAGAAGGTGTTCCAGCACCAACCAAAATTAAAACGGGTATGGATTTAATTTTTATAATCACTTAGCAATACTAATTTAGACATGGAGATTGCAATCGCTAATGGCTTCTATGGTGTTTACGGTCGACATTCAGATTTGCATTACTGCGCCTTCCATTTTTTCAAGAATGTTTACGATGCTATTAAGATTAGCGGATTCTCTTTTACGAATCTTATTCATTTTTGTTTTCGCGTTTCAAGTTACTTGATGTTTATCAAAACCCTATGACGAAAGTGTATGTACAAGGATTAATGGCGCTAACCTTTGTAAAATCTTCTGACGTCCGGAAGTATTTTGAGGTCTTGCAATATGAAGCTTATATCAATTTACCAAGCTTTGCCAACGAGTTACGTGGTACATTTTATACAATATAAATAGAGCACTTACTATTTTAGGCGTATTCGAATACTTTGAAAACAGCTATATCGGAAAAGTGGTTATGAATCGTTATGTTTTACCGCTTCACCCCATTGAAAACTGGAACTCATTTGGCGCTGTTATGAGGGATGAACAAATTGGATCATCATCACAAGAAGGTTATAACGCCAAACTGAAGGTACCTCTTTTAAAAAATCTTTTTACATCTTGTTTATTAGGAAATCACATCGAAATGTTCTGCACAATTTGTGGCAATGAAACTGTTGGAGGTTCAAGAAACGTACGAGAAGATGTTTGTTCTTGCTGCACAGAAGCAACTGACTCTTCCCCAACTCTCTCCACAGTCATCACGAATTCAAACTGCTCATCAACAACGGAAGCTGGCGATTAAAAATGGACCCTTGGGAAAATCATCGTTTGATCATCTGAAAGCTTTGTGTTCTTTTGTTCATTTTATTTGATTTGTTTGTTTTGCTTGTACGCATTTGTTGTTTATCATATTTTGTTGTTATTTTATTTGCAATCGTTGTTGTTATTGCGTGTTAACTAGTTGAATAAAAACATACAGTAAAAACTTTGAGATCATGCAGAAAATGCAAAAATAACATGCATATACAGAATGGGCTGATTCGGCGCTGAAATGAATGTTTTCCAGTCGTTTTTGGTGCGGCGCTGAAATGAACGCGCGCTAAAATGATTGGCGCTGAAATGATTGGCGCTCAATTTTTGGCGCTCATTTGACTACCTCCCAGTAAATGCCAATAGCCAATAGAATTGTCTTAACTTTTGCGGCGCTAAATTTTCTTGTTATCAAAGCTCAATCTTAGAAAATAATCCATCGCGTTCGATTTTAGTATTATATAACTTTTGTTGGTCACCTGTCTAAATAATCTTTTTCTTTATTTTTTTACTGTCTAAATAATCTTTTTCTTTAGATATGGATCTCGATGGGAACTCGTTTTATGGATTCGAGAATTTTCGAGCTCGTCGTGAACACGAGAAACATATGCAATTCTTCAAGAGGATCCACAATCAAGTGACCGAGCAAGATGCTATCTACAACATGGCCAACGATGTTGCCGAGGAGTCTTCGTGTGAATCGGATGCACCATCCGCGAAAAAGCGATGATGTTTCGAAGTTCAAACAAAGCTGAAAGCAATCGATTTTGCTAAAAAAAATGAAGGATAAGTTGGCTGCAGCGCGAAAATTCTGAGTCAGTCGTCAAAGTATTCAACAATGGTGCCAGCAAAAGGCAGAACTTGAGAAACAAAGCAAAGAGAACGAAAAAGAAGTGAAACTAATCAAAGGCGGTGGACGAAAGCTGAAAGATGTCGATTTCGACAAGGATCTTGTTGCTTGGATTCAAGAAATGCGGGCAAAGAAGATGCAAGTGACACGAAAGATGATTCAATGCCAAGCGAAGTTAATGTGAAAATGTGACGAGTAATTTTCGGCATCAGAGGAATGGCTAAATGTATTGATGTCAAAGCACGAATTGTCAATGTGATGACACGAATTTGTCCGGCCCACAACTGTATGCCAGAAGCAGCCAAAGGAGTACGTGAAAGCAATAATCGAGTACATCCTCTAGATGGAGAAGTTGTGCAAAAAGAACAATTACGTATCGATTTTTGCGTGCGATGAGACGAATTTTCTTGGATCAGTCGAACAGTTTGACTATTGCCGACAAAGAATCCAAAGAGGTGAGAATTCTTTCAACGGGTCACGATAAGATGAGAATCATCGTGATGTTAGCAGCCCGTGATGATGGCTTCAAGTGTAAGCCCTTTATGTTATTGAATCGAGTTAGACCGGATCCTAAAGTCATTGCAAAGTTCCACAACAAGCTGGAGCTACCCTGCGGTGGATCTACATAAATTAATGATATTTCTACCTACCTTTGAAGGATTCTCGGTGCTCCACTATTAGGAAAACGATTGATCATTCAGAACAACTTTTCTGCTCAGAAAAGCAAAGCCACGAAAAAAAACTTTGAGGGATTTGCACATTGATTCGATTCTTGTGCCCGGAAGATGCATCAAGTACATACAAGCTCCCGATGTCATGTGAAATGCACCGTTTAAAGCTAGGATTCGAGCACAGTACGAGGGATGGATGATGAATGGACCAAAACCTTTGACCCAGAATGGAAACCCGGCTCCTCCACCGATGGAAACTTACCTTGAGTTGGTTTGGAAAGCTTGGAACGGGATTCCGAAAAACCCCATCATAAATTCGTTCAAGAGTTGTGCAATTACCACAGCTACTGATGGCTCTGAAGATGGTTTCATTCACTGCTTCAAAAAAGAAGGACCGACTCCTGAAGGCGCAAAACCTCTCGCCAATGCTCGTCTCGTACAATCGATCAACTCGAAAATATTGAATTGGATGATGACAATGATTCAAACGATGATTTTGTTGTTAACTTTTTGTTATCAGTTTTTGAATGTTAAGCAAAATTTGTAGAAAGTTGCTCTTTGCAAGGATTTTTGGAAAAAATCTTGTACCTTTCCTACTTTGTTAAAATGATAAAACTCTTTAATATCATTGCACTCTCTAATTGCACTCTCTAATAGTACAGAGTGTCGTAAAAGTTCCCGGAGTAATTTGCAAATAAGTAAAAGTGCCAACTTCAAGTATTTGGAGGTTTTTCTTAACAAAATAGTTTATGATTGATTGATTGTTGAAGACAAAATAGTTTATGATTGATTGTTCCTTATATTCTAGGAATCTTGTTTGTGTTTTCCGGAGTGACAGCGGTGCGTGGACAGCCACATCTTGGACGATCGTTGCTCATCTCTTTGTATCGTTTGATTACATCAAAAACAGTGCTCAGGATATCCCGTCGTTTTGATGATGTCGTATTTCCGCTCTTGTTGTCCGCTCTTGAGTCCGAGAATCACCTGGCGTCTCTGATTCAGATTCCTGATTCAGATTCAGATTCAGATTCAGATTCAGATTCAGATTCAGATTCAGATTCCAAACAAGATTCCTAGAAGATACGTCTTTTTATCGATCGACCTGAGATCCATTCATCCCATTCATTACCTAAAAAACAACAGTTATTCCAACAATTTAATAATTAAAAGATTAAAAAAATGAAACAGACTAAATAAACGACAAAGCTACTAGGAAAACAACTACTAGGAAAACAAAAAAAAACAAGGAAAACAACGCATTAAGTCCAGGAACTTTTGCGACACCCTGTATTACGATCAAAGAGGGGAAATAGTATGACGCAATTCTAATAGAAAGAATACGATAGTTTAAAAGTTCTACTATTTTCTATGATATTCTTCATTGAGCAAGCTATTACTATTAAGCTAGAGCAAGCTATTACTACTATTTCCTTCAAGCTTAAAGCTTAAACAAAATTCAGTTTTTGAGTGGTGTTTAGCTAAGTTTAGGTAGGTGATAGAACTTTTAGCGCAAAACCTATACAAAAAAAACATAACCTTTGCTCTTTATCTTGATCTTGATTATCGAGGAAATTGAAAAAAAAGCGAAAACAGGACATTTATTTCTATAGTTCTTTGATTTCTATAGTTGAATCAAAGAAATATAGTTTTCTATAATTCTTTGATTTTCTCAACGTATACATGAACCCAATTGGATTCTCTAGGGAAAATCTGTCTAGGAAAACACATAACTTGGTCGTAGTTTTGTTTTCCGCGAAAGTTGAGCAACTGGTAATTAAACAACAAGATAATTGAAGTACAAAAGTTATTGGAAAAGGAAATAGGTTTAAAAGGTTTAAAAGTTTTGAAATTGATTTGATTTTGAATAAACAAGACCAAACGTTTTCGAAGGATGCCGCTTTTATTATCGGATTGGGCTTCGATCCTCTTTGACATCTCAATTCCATTTGCTGTTTTTGGAGATCTCGCAATTTACATTTCGTTTGGAAAACGCACTAATACGCTTTGTCCAATATACTTGGCTTCAATGAGAAACATTGGTTGGTTGAATGAAAGCTGAGACTTTACTCTAAACTAAAATAACTAGATCAGAGCTAAAATAACTACCGTAAACACTGTTCCTTATCTCTCTAAATTTGGTTCCTAATCTCTGCAAATTTGGTTCCTAATCTCTCTAAATTTGGTTCCTTATCTCTCTACCCCGCCCCCATAATGACGGTGCGGAGTGTTGCGTAGTCTAGCTTCGAACGAGTTTTCCTCGACACTGGTTTATGCTACAATGCGCGCTTAGGTATCAAAAAATAGCTGAAATTCAGGGCTATTTTTCGATATTAAAAGACGGAGCATCACGTAGCCTAACTTTAAACGCATTTTTCTCGTCATCAGTTTATAATGACGGCCGGAGCATCGCGTAGTCTAGCTTTGAACGAGTTTTCCTCGACACTGGTTTATGCTACAATGCGCGTTTAAATATCAAAAAATAGCCCTGAATTTCAGCTATTTTTTGATACCAAAGACGCATTTTTTGAAAGTACGAGCGCTTTGAAAAAAAAGAAAAGCTAAAAACTTGCGACTAGGCGACTGTACGATGGGGGTGGGGTACTATTACAGTATTTACGGTACTTATTTTAGTTCTGATCAATTTTTTCCTTTATTCCGATCAACTTCTCATCAAAGAGCCGGCAAATTTCGGTTATTTTCATCAATTTTGGATTGACAACGAGTGGTGGATTGGAAAAATTTCTTTTGTGAATACTGCTGGTTTGAAATTCGTCAATCATTCATCTGTTTCTCGGGTTTAGTTTGGCCGATGATCGGCGTGATCTTTCAATTGGAGATAGCCGTGTCAAGACTTTGGGCTATTTGGTCACCGATCTCTTATCACAGGGTAACAAAAAAAAAACATTGCTCGATGGTTTATCCGAAATCTGGAAAAGATTTGGATCTAGATAGATTTAGATAGATCTAAATCTATCTAGAGATTTAGATAGATCGGATTGGATTCATTTTTTAAATACCACGTTAGCTTATGCTTAAATTTGGTTCTTTTCCGGTATATACCGTATTTTCTCTAATAGTAGTGCACCCCTGAGCGTCGCCTAAATTCCTCGAAATCTCGAGAACCAAATCGTTTTTCAGTTCTGGAAATCTTCAATCACAAGCCACGTCTCGATGTTCATTTGGATGATTGGTTTCCTTTTAACTCTGCATGTTTTCATTTTTGTTCAAGTCGGCGCATATAATCAACAAGGAATCGTCTGTGATATCAGAAAGAAGTGATCAGATAAAAGTTTAGGAAAATGGCACCTCATTAGCATTTAAGCCGGTTGTGCCAAGTTTTGTGTACACGGTGATCATCGTTTACGCGAATGGGCTCTTCGTTGCCACCATCACTTTCTGCTATATTTTGATGGGTTTTATTTTGTGGAGGTTTGAGCATTTTTTGATGAGCTGGAGCTGGGTTGATGAGCTGGAGCTGGGTTGATGAGCTGGAGCTGGATTGATGAGCTGGAGCTGGGTTGATGAGCTGGAGCTGGGTTGATGAGCTATTAAGTTCGAAAGAAAGTTCTCATAAAAAGTTTGACTTGAATTTCTTCAAAACAAAACCACTAATTCAAGAACATTTTGTTCTATAATTTACAAGTCGACTCCAAGAAATTACTCGTAAAAAAATGAGTGCAGCTTTTCGTTAAAATTTTAGAGATTTTTGAAGAAAATTATTCTTTTCCAGCTTAAATTTAGATCACTTTTTGCATCAGAAAAATGATTTTTTTTTATGTGGTAAAGCTAGCAAAAATAAGCAATACGCTCTATCTCTATTTTTAGCCAAAATTTTTTATAGAGAAGCTTTACAGAGAAGCTGTAAAGCTGTTTTTCAAAAAAATAATTCAAAATCTTCTTGACACTTTGCTAAAATAGATGATTCTGAAAAGTTAAAAAGCATTAGATCAAATTTAGACCATTAGATCATTAGATCTTAAGCACATTTCTCTATTTTAAGTACTTGATTTTCGGCTTTCAATCGGACCCATTGTCTATCCATTAACCCATTAAAAACTTGTCTAAACTTA